TAAGTAAAAAAACTTTTAGAAGAAAAAAAATATTATTCAGCATAAATTTTGATTGGTTTCCATCTCATTGTTTTTTTAAAAATCGATAATGTGATTGTATCAATTTTAAACGCCCTAAAATTAGCTAAATCGGCGCTTTTACGGTGATTGCGCAATATGGGTGCCCTATGACCTTTGACTTTTTACGGGTCATGCTGCTCAGGCGCTAGGCGCCCTCCCCACGTCGGCCGTCCGTCTTGTGGGCAAATTTCTACTTTTTTTAGGGGTTTCGGGACCTAAAAACTAACACCAGAGGGAAAATAAACCACATACGTTTTTTTCATGGTAAATATCGCTAAAATGGACCAGGCATTTTTCTGCCGCGTTGCCGATTTTGACAAGGACTTGCGGCCGCCATGTGCTAAAATACGTCGATTAGCTACTCGCCTTCCCGTTCGGTTTTGTGGGCAAATTTTTGCTTTTTCAGACGTTTTGGGACTTAAAAATGGACAGCAGGCGAAAAATAAATAATATGCATTATATTCATGGGAAATACCGCTATCATGGACCAAATATTTATCTGTGACGTGTTGCCGAATTTTGCGGCCGCCGGCCACTTGCTGATGGTGCGGTACGTACGGACAATTTTTTTCCCAAAAATTGATAAACGTACCGTCCCTAATAAGAATGTACCGGGTGGACGTTCGGGCCGAAAAAAATAAACGTACCGGTACGTTTAATCGGGACATCAGAGTAATGTTTTTTTTAAGTGGTCACCACATAACACAGCCATTAGCCTAAGGCCACTTCATGGTTATGAATGGTTTGATCCACTCACATGTGTTACGGGTTACCGAATAGAAGTGTAACAGCAACATTACTCTTCTCCCTGAGTCAGAAACATCATGATTGAGACCAGCTCAAACCCACAAACCCACAGCTCAGCCACCCTAAACAATACTTCTGTATCTACATGAAGAAGTGACAAATTTTGTTGTCCTTTTCAGGGTTCTCTACACAGAGTCAGTGAACGGTTCCTAGAACAGACTCTGGACAAAAAACTCATGTCTCATCTTAGGGTAAGTAATGGACTTGGAAGACACTCACTGTTTCTTATTATCAATGATTATTAAAACAATGGGCACAAAGATTCTCATATAAGGTCCCTTTCTTGTTTCAGTGTTTTCATTTCTTAAAAGGGCATTGTGTCATATTTTTGCCCCCCCTCCAAAAAAATATTTTAATTGAAAAAAATCTGCTGCTTTTTAACACATTTGTGCCATTATTTCACATTTATGGTTGGTGCTAAAAGTAAAACAGCTCACTCAACATGCACTCATTTTGTTGCACCACCACAAACCTCTTAGTGTTATTTGGCATCTCCACTCCCTGAATGACACTTATTTAGTAAGCCTGATTCAACTTGCTTCATAAAGAAATAACCCCAAAAGTTACTTTTTGAATTGTCCTAATGTTACATATTAATGCAAACTTCATGATTACCCAGAGAAAGAGAACGGCTCACGAGCGAGCTAAGGAGTTGTACGCTCGCGGTGAGTGGTCTACGGGGAAGAAATGGGGAGACGACGCTCCGAAAGAAGAGGTTGACACGGACTCCATCAGTCTGATTGACAGTGGGGCCTGCGGGGCCTTCGTTCACGGCTTAGAGGACGAGTTCTTAGGTAAGAGTTTTTAGCATCACCACAGGGGCAGAGTCTTTTTACTACCTGTTTTTCTGGCAATTTTTGGTAAAAAAACATGCCCTTAGCTAGCATTTTAAATGGGGGGTTCTTCCCACTGCTTGAGGGACCAGCGAGCGCCGAAGGGGCCAGGTTACTAGGGGGTCCATGCTCCCCCCGAAAATTTTGAAAAATGAACCTCCTGAAATAGCATTTCCTGTGTTTTTGAGAGTATTTTCAAAGGAAAAAAAATCAGAGATAACTTTTTATTCAATGATAGAGTGAGCAGGTTTTTTTTTTTAATTCCAGCCCCGCTGGCGATCTTTTAAAGAAAAGTCTTGGACATTTACATAAAAAGTGGACCATAAAGTGGACCTTTGAGCCTTGAGGGGGGGTTCGTCCGAATGGGTATGAAAAAGTACTGTACAATTGCAAAGTCAAATGTATAGTTTTCTTGGGAGATGGAGCACACATGCCCAAATCAGCCCCCAACAGCAAGACATTAATGCTGCAATAATGATGGTTCCAGCCCAACTGTAGGTTAGATTACCCAAAAGCTGGAGGGCAATCTGGCCTGCAGTCAGACTGGTACCATGGATGATACAGACACTGTGTAGTATTTAATATTTGTCATACAAACTGTAGAAAACACGCATTTAGAGTGAAAATCTGCTTGGAATTGAGAAAATTTGGTGTCCCTAAACCAAACAAAATCAATTCCAAGGCTTTAAAAAAATCCAGTATTTGAATTTTCAAAAATGGCACACTCAGCGCACGTACAGCATGATTGTTCAACTTAAATTTTGGAAGCTTGATAACCATTAGAACACTCCCTGTGTGATACAGGTACATTTGTAGTTACATTTGTATCACGTGGGCTGGAACACCGGTATTGAATGTTATCACGACCTAGCTACATTGTACATGACATAACAACAGATGCAATCTGCTTACTGTAATTCCTTAAAGCGCAAAATCAAGAATAAGTACTTGGTGTAGTACTTTGAATTCATGGTCTTGTAACACCGACGAAATGCCCTATATTGTAATTCCTGACTTTTTCGCTGTACTGTAACAGTTACAGTACAGCTTGCGTGGGTGACGCGATCACGAGGTAACGCTAACGCGGCGATCACGTAACGCTAACGCAGCGATTACGAAGCGATGACGCGATGATGCAAAAAGAGAAGGAAAAAATAAGTGCTTCGATAGTTCAAAACACGTTTAAAAGTCCTGCAATTCTCGTGTAGATATGCGCGTAAACGCACCGTACAATATGCTTGTAACGGAGTTTGGATGTTTCGGGCGGAACCCGCGTTTGACGTATCAATTTTTCGGCGGTTCACTTTCAAGATACCCCATTTTGTCAAGCTTGAACGCATCTAATTCCAGGTCATTGAACCCGCCAGTTACGCACCGCCCGCGCACTTGGTACACCTCACGGGGCACAAAAATACCATGGCCAAAGTGGACTGTAATTTGTTTACTACAAAGTCGCGTAGTATGCGCCAGTGTTTCTCGCACCTTTGAGACTTTGGGGCTAAAATTATATTTTTCTTACATAAAAGAGCGTCAAGACTGGCCGGTTATATTTTGCTCAGACTGCACGCTGTCAATTTGTATTACGTGGTCCCTTAATTTTTTTTTTAATATCGGAAATCTGGTGGCTTAATAAGGTACAGAACGATAGCAAAGTAATACAACCTTCATGAACAATTTTTGTGTCCGACCTTGCGACGTGGACGGCTTTTGATGTCACCCGACCCGCGCTATCTCAGATCTAATTAAAAATCTAACATCCACGTGCCATATCGCCACTCAAGAAGTTCTTTATTTTTTGACGTACGGAGAACAAGGGGGCGAAGCATAATTCAAGGGTTCTTTACGCCTCAAATTTTGATACATTTCGTGAGCCACGCAGTGTTGAGGGCCTGCATGGAGGGTAGTGATTACGAATTACGCAAAATTTTCGCTATAAAGTTAAAGTTTCAGAGCTCATTACGACTTAACGCTTTGTGGCTAATGTACGAATTACGTTGATTTTTGGGAAGGCTGTCTACGGTTCACGAAGACTATTAGGCCCCGTTTGCGCCAGATGCGTCCGAGGCACAGCCTATGGGGAGGACATGAGTCGGGAACGAGCGACCACTCGCCCGAACAGGCGTATAAACTCTCCGCCTTACGAGCCGGGTTCTCAGGAAATATTCAAAGAAATTGTGATATACATAATGAAATGCAAGTCAATTCGAGGTGTGAAACCGTTTCCAGTGTGGGTTCAAGTTTTGAATCACGGACGCAAAAATATATTCCGTTTCGATTCGGATCGTGGCCAAACCGGAACACATTTCAATCATGAACGAGGCCTTAAATAAAGAAAAGGCCTGATTTAATACGCCTTACGAAACAGGGCATGCAGGCCCCCAGTGTTGGGCCGGGCGTTCCCACGCCGTGTCGCCATAGAAACCGCACGTAGACAGCAGTGAGCAGCGGCGCTGGTACACTCCCCGGCGCCGACAGACCACGTGGCGTTCTGGCGCGCCAATCACAGCGCACAGACGGGGACCCGCCCACCAGCCAGGCCGCAAAGAGTGGTGTTGTGAGTCAGATGCGCCGCCCAGCCAGAGACACCGCCTGACGATTTGTATATTTTGCCGCCCTGCAGCTGCACGGACGGCATCCATTGTGCAAATAATTTGTCGAAAACTCCCCAAATTACGTTAGAAATTTATAGTTGACAGAAATATCCCTCTAGTGCGTATATTTTTTTACGAATGTTTGCGTTTTTGTCCCAGTTCACGCTCAAATACACCGCATCATTTTCGGCAATGTTTCCACCGCCAACAAATTTCCAAGACCTGCTTCCCCACAATGACTTTTTGTTTTTGGTGCGTGGTTTAAATTGAAATGGTTTTTGTCCGACCGAAAAATATTCAAATCGCACGATATTCGGGGTAAAGCCCCAATGCTTAATGATATTTGAGATGACAATAAAATCAGAAATTTGTCTTTTCCACTGAATTTCTACCTCATCACAAAACTTGATTCGTCACTATCGGTACAGTTTTACGTTTCACTGCCGTCTTACCTTTCAATGCTGTCGGTGGGGTGACCCGCTTCCCCGAGGATCGAGGATTAAAGTTACCGGCGCCGCCGACAGGAAAACATGCGTGGTTTGGGCAAATAAAAACACAACAAGCGCTTATCAGACCTACTAGATTTTATTTCTAAACAACTATCAACCTGAAGTGAAGAAAATAATATATAAGGTAGTAGTGTAAGATGCATTTGGTTTTGTCACACGAAACGCCGAAAATGGGGTGCGCCCATTGTATCAGTATTTCCCTCACAAGTTTTCAGTTCCCGAGTGGGGCGGTCTGCCACCGCCCAAAATCAGTCTTATTAGCGTGGGTGTTTAATAACAGGAAATAATCGCCATGTAATATTGGAATATTTTTTGAGCATTTTTGGACCATGGTGTTTCTTTACAGGTTTGTCGCTGAGTTGCTGTGTTGCTGTAGGATGTACCATCATACTCATACCAAGTGCCGCCGGCGTGCGTTGCTCGTGGCTTTTGCGGGTCAATGACCTCAGGGAGATGCGTTGTGTTTTAGGAAAACCAGCAGGCAGGGTGACGTTTAATAGAGATTATCATATAGCGGGCGGCTGCATATTAAAAGGAGCCAATTCCTGCAGAAATCGCCGACTTTCGCACCGGTAAAGCCGACCGGGCACGTCGTGTAGCAGAACTCGGACGCATGAAATACGTTACTCACGCGTTACTGTGACGGGTTAGTACCGCGTAAATGCCGCGTACGTACCGCGTGAGTACCGCGTGAGTAACGCGTTACCCGTTAATTCTAACGCAAGCTGTACTGTATGTTCACTGTTTTCACTGTCACTTCTGTACCGTGAACTTATCATTACAGTTAACAAATAATTCCTGGACTTTCTTTTTCCTGCACTTGTCACCAATGTGAACATACAGTTCCGTGAACATGATGATTGTCCATTTTTCTCAGATCGTGAACTTTTGCTAACCGTAAACATAAAGTGAATTACAGTACCCCTATCTTTCCCACAGAGGTTCGCAATGCTTCAGTCGACTCCCTTTGCGAACTTTCTTCCAACAACCCGACGTTCGCCCAGCAGAGTCTGGACTTCCTGGTGGACATGTTGAACGATGAGATCGATGGCGTACGGCTGAACTCCATCCGCTCTCTACGCAAGATCAGCCGCCATGTTGTGTTACGGGAGGACCAGCTGGATACTGTTCTAGGTGCACTTGATGTAGGTTATGAGAAAATAGCAACTTCAAGTATCAAGAATGATTCCATTCATATTGCACACTTGAGACACTATCTCTAACTTTCTAAGTGATATACACTGTTATTTTTATTTACACGAAAAATGAACTTCAAGGTTTTTATTGCTTTTGGTAATGTCTGTGTGTGTTTGTGTTTGACCATTGGGTTAGGTTGTTATAGATATGGTAGGGTTTGGTCTGTCCCAGAGTGAGAAAGTAGCACTTGCAGTTTTTACAGGACTGGTGTTTTTTGTTACATGACCTCCTTGACAGCTGGTGTTTTTTGTTCTTTCCAACTGTTAGAAGGGGATTGCCAATTGCTACTTTTCATCAATAGTTGATCAATAGTCATAATCGATGAGACAAATAAAAAAAATTAACATTTTACACAAAATCTGGAGCTGGGTCTGAGGTCTCTAAATTCTTCTTCAGTCCCTGAACTAAAACTTGCACTGAAAAATGTGCACCTACAGTTGTACAAGTTTTGAAACTAATGCACTGAAAAATGTGCACCTACAAGTTTTGCATGTGGGTGACATGGATACAGTGTTGTATCCTGAATTACATGTTCCTTTTCCTTTCAGGATGCATCTAAACCAATCCGTGAGGCCCTCCACGAGTTGCTGTGCAGTTGTCAGCAGCTGTCCAAGGCCTGTCTGAACAGCACCATCCACGCCATGCTGCGAAACCTCAGCAAGTATCCCTCAGACAGGCTGTCCATATGGAGGTCAGTATTCATGGGGCTACAGGATTGTACATGTCTCCACTCTTGAGGTGCCGCCAAAAATAGCCTGGACTACAGTGTGTATATTGCGGCAATACCTGAAAGTCATTTTGTGTGTTTTTACAAATATATATGTCTGAAAATGCTGTGGAAGGTTGAAGATTTTGATAATTAGGGTGTGACCACAATTATCACTAGAATTCTCTAACTTTACATTAATTTTTTTTTGTTTGGACCTATAAAATAATAAAAGAGATACACTGTATATGTTAAAGTGTTGCTGTTATTTGTACATGTACAAAAAAGTTGAATGTTGTACTAAATGTTTTAGTCCTTCAGCATTGAAATTGCCTAACCATAGTTTCTTTTTTTAATTGTACATTTTAGCATGAAGCAGTTATAGATTCTGTCAAAATTTCATCTACTATACATAAGATTATTTTAGCTGCATATGGACCATGAATGTAATATCATCAATGACATTCCTCACATTTTAAAAACAACACTGTTGTATAGTACAATGTTCACATAACATGACCTTCTAACCTCCCAGGTGTATGCAGCAGGTTGGCAGCCATCATGCTGACCTTGTGGCGACCTTGACCCCTGACCTCCTGTGTGCACACCCCTACTTTGATGCCACAGAGCCTGACATGGATGACCCAGCATGTATCCTTCTATGTATGAACCTTTATTACATGCACATCTGGGATGAAGGCTGGTCTAGGGGGAGTTTGTATGTATATTGTCCTGAGTAGCAAGGATTGCAAGTGATAGGGCAAAGATTGGGTTTCAGTGGATTTACAGGGTTGTGACCTGGTATGTCCTGGGTGGTAAGATGTGGTATGGCATTGCGAGAAATGTTTACATTGTACATTTCATGCTTTTCCCCCAAATCAGGCGAAAATCAATGCATGCACTTATTTCATCCATAAAAATTACTTGCTGTAGCCTAATCATACAATACAGACTCCCAAAACACTTCTGATAAATCTGAAATCTCTGATGTCTTGTTTGTGTGTGGACCTTAACCCGTCCCCTCAGACATAGCGATCCTGATCCTGGTGTTTAACGCAGCGGTGTCCTGCCCCACCCTCCAGCCCATGTTCCCTCAACACACCCTCAGGCACTACGACTACCTGAGAGACAGTCTCACAGAGCTGGTGCCTCAACTCAAGGTTTGTTTGTTTGTTTGTTTGTTTGTTTGTTTGTTTGTTTGTTTGTTTGTTTGTTACGCATAACCGGTAAACTGCCTTTAGGCGTAACACACCAATTTTGTACATGTACATATAAGTACAAGCTGCGTAAGACCAGACTGTAGCACTGAACCACTTATACCGGGAAGGTCCCCTACTCTTTTCGATAAGTGCGGTGGGTTCTTTAACGTGCATGGGGTGTGGCTCTAACCAAACACGGAACCTCCATTTAACCGTTAATTAACGTCCTACATTTGTATCCTAGGGACGTCCCTAACTAAAGCTAGGTACTCATTTCCACCTATCAGTGAGGTGAGTGAAGTGAGGAAAGTCATGTTAAGTGCCTTTCCCAAGGACACTAAGATCGGTGACATGAGTAGGATTTTTTTTGCAAATCAGGAAAAAATGAAGCGGGCGAATCCGTTAACCAAGAAATTAAATTGGTGTGGCCTAAGGAGGAACTAATATACAAGGAGTCATATTAGGATTTTCAGATTAATTATGCAAATTAGGTCCGTATTTTTCATAATTGGTATCTGGTGATATTCCACCTGCCATAGATTACAAACATTTGTGAAGGTAAGAAGTTTTGTTTCCTCAGCTGGAGGGTCATCGGTCCATCCTGATGAGTCCTGACCGTCAGCGGCACCCCAGTCTGGACGACCACGGGAGTTTCCTGCAGCACATCCTGAGCAGACTGGGGGCGCTGCTGCACATGCAGCATGGTGCAGCCGTGGAGCTGCTGCAGATGACTATCAGGTCTCATCTCTGTCTTACATGTTATAATGTGAAGTAAGAAGAAGTTAAACCCAGTAGTTTCTTAGTAGTTATCAGTAGTTCTCTGTGTACTATTGTCTAGTTTTTATACCATACTGTATGTTTCTTCTGTTCCTGTAATTAGCCTCGGGCATGAGTTTGTTATAAAACAATAATTATAATATTACAGGTTTCAGTAGGCAAAACCTGTTCTGTTTTACTCTCTGTTCCATAGATGCCACCATCTTAGAAAATGGGTGCTGCCATCTTGGAACATGGGTGCAACTGTATTTAATTTATTTTTCCAAAGGCATAAACTACTCACTTTTAAAGCCCGTCACACATAGCCAAATATGTCCTACTGAACACTACTGACCTCCTCCAACCATGGTTAGGAGGAGGTTGGCTGGTGTTCGGTGAGGTTGGCTTAAACTGATTAGCTGCACCAGCCAAATTATACTTAAAAATATATAAAACATTTGGTTGTGGATAGAAGATTAATTTTGCTGGTGTTCTGGAGTAGGTCAGCAGAGGTTGAGGCATGTTAGAGGATCATATTTGACTCAATTTTAAATCAAAGCTGATTTCATTCCTGATATTAATCTGGTCAGACAGACGGTGCTCCTAAACCTCTGCCAGCCTTGGTCAAAATAGGAAATTTGTTCTGCTCCAAAATCGATGCAAAGTTTTCAGTTGGTAATAGCCAACTGGTATGTTTTTTTTTTGTCACTAACAGATACAGATAACAGTAACACCAGTACGTATTGTTGGACCTTTGTTGTGAGGTGACAATTGTGTTTGTGTTGACAGAGACCTGGAGAGAGTAGGGAGTTTAGAGCCTCAGCTGACAGCCACGGCTGCCTGTACAGCCATGTACCTGCACTGTCACATGCTGTTCCGCAAGGTGGGTCCAGCAGAACGTACTGCGCCTGCGTAAAACCCTGATTTTTTCACAGCTTTTGTTGGATGTTTGGTCAATGTTGCATCAGAATTTTTTCTGTTGCATATATTTTTTTAAACATATCTTTGGAAACTGTAGAGTGACGTAGTGTTAACCTTACGTGTATATGCGAGAGTACAACGTTCTGCCAAAGTGCTATGCATAATACATTTTGCACAGGCACAGTACATTTTGCAGACATGCTAGGGGATCCCTACATGTCAACAGAACATACTGCACCTGCACGAAATCACAATTTTTCACAGTTTTCGTTGGATGCCGTGTAACAGTTTGGTGAATGTTGCATGAGATTTTTGCCTGTTGTAGACGATATCTTTTCTGACACAACAATTGAAAAGTATAGACAGAATGTCATCCTTAAATATACAAATACATGTACGACCTAAAATAAACATTCTGGCAAAGTGCTACATGTATGTATATAGCGGGTTTTGCACTGGCACAGTACATTCTGTCAAGTTGAACGTATTAGTCACTCAATAGTAAGTGCCCCGTCTACTATTGTTTTTGAGAGGCTGAGCCTTGGGCTTGTGTGTGTACTTTATCTGGACAAAATAAGTTGACAGCATGTGAGTGGGGCAGGGGGATTGACAGGCAAAATGACTGGTCAAAGGTCAGACACAGGAAATGGGATGAACGTTAAGGTTTCAGAATCTGACTGGGAGCCAGCAAAGATAATATGATAGTGGACATGGGGGAATTCAGGAAACCAAGGTCCCCGGAAGTCTCCAATTTCGTGTTTGCAATAAAAATGCAATAAGAATTATTGTCATTATCATCTTTTTCCATAGTCCAAAAAGATACACATTAATTCAACAATGTAGTTAGTTGCTGATGAATAATAATTATGATATATTTGTGTGTCCTGTAGGCACTGTCTGACCAGCTGTGGGCCATGCCAGCAGCACTAGGGGCAGTACAGTGTGCAACAGTCAGGGCATCTGTTAGACAGGTACCTCTTGATCTTGATACTGTACTGCGTAGCACCCCTAAGTTGGGATCAAACACGCAGGGGTGGGGAATGCGCTGCACTCTAAATACTCCTCAAGTGTAGCAGAACAGCTTCCTTAAACTTGTCGGCCTCTGGTATTTCTGGTAAGGCCTGTGGAAGCTTGTTCCAGTCTCTAACAGTCCTTGGGAAATACGAGTACCTATAGCAATCCTTGTGGAATGCTAGTGTCTTGTAGGCACAATTTGCGTGCCGCGATTTGCGCGGTGAGGATGAAAGCTGAGTAGCATCCGGTAAGGCAATTTTATTTTGTCTGGCTTTGTGTAAAATAGTTAATCTGCTGGCTGTCCTTCTGTTCTCTAAAGTGTCCCACCCTAGGTCAGAAACAAGCTTGGTTGTGCTAACACTAGTGGAATATGAATTAGTGACAAACCTAGCTGCTCTTTTATGGACGGCTTCAAGTCTTCAGTTGCAAAATTTTTCACCACAAAAACCGTGAAAACAAAACCACTCCATCTATCTAACAGATTTGATACTATTTCATCGAGGACTCCGCAAAAAATATTGCCATACCCTTCTAAACACTAATGGCTGTTCCATCAACTTATCCTCCCCCTCTGTAGATGTTGGAGTTGACCCATCAGATGGAGCAGTTGTTCCTGGGTCTGAGTTCAGAAGAGGTGGGGTGTGTACTGCAGATGAGACTGAAGGCTCACACACTACAGCTGCTGGTAGACTTACGGGGGAGGCAAGCTGGAGCAAAAGGGTATGTAGAGTTGTCTGTATCTGTATCTATATAGCCAGTATAACCACCCTTCGGCGCAACACACCAGCTTCTGTATCTGTATAGCCGGTATAACCACCTTTCGGCGTAACACACTAGCTTCTGTATCATTCTGTATAGCCGGTATAACCACCCTTCGGCGCAACACACCAGCTTCTGTATCTGTATAGCCGGTATAACCGCCCTTCGGCGTAACACACTAGCTTCTGTATCTGTATAGCCGGTATAACCACCCTTCGGCACAACACACCAGCTTCTGTATTCTGTATAGCCGGTATAACTGCCCTTCGGTGTAACACACCAGCTTCTGTATCTGTATAGCCGGTATAACTGCCCTTCGGTGTAACTCACCAGCTTCTGTGTCTGTATGGCCGGAATAATAACCGCCATTCGGCGTATACGTAACACACCAGCTTCGCCGGCACGTGGCACGGCAGCAGCTGGCTACATTACACTGAACGACTTGTTACACCTAACCCTTGAACATCTAACTCTAAACATTGTTTAAAGCTATGATCTACATGTAATGACAATGCCCCTACTGTACTTGGTGACAGTGAGTTCCACTCTGTGATACTAGTAGTTCTAGGAAAGAATGAATTCTTGAACACCTCAAACCTTGGTTGATAACTCTGGTACTTGAAGGCATGGCTCAAGGGAATACAATCGTGTGCAAATCATGGTCAGAAATCATGAAATTTCCCATGACCAGAGGTTTTGTCCATTCTGTCCAGAAGAGATGGATAAGCAACAAGGTGACTATAATGGATTCAATTTGTCAATGATAATAATTATGATTATCAACCCTCAAAGCTGTTCAAATTTCTTTCCACATGCTGTACAGAATTTGATACATTTTGATATATGGTACAGATAAATTTCATTCCTTTCTAGAAATAGATAACCCTTAATGTGTCCAAAAAGGTAAATTATAATTATATAATACCAAAGAATGTTTAGACCTTACAACTAGAAGTAAAAAAAAAAAATGTACATCATAAGAAATATTCCAAACTCGATATTCATTCGTATACTACTATGGAAGTTATGTGTACTACTACATAAGAGATACTACTACATACTAAGTTAATTCATTAATATGTATCTACTTGAATGTTTGTTTATGTGTATATATCGTCGTAGAATACCTAACAAAAGTCAACGTTCTTTTGTTGTATCAATAAAGAATGTACAATAATACTTTTGTCCAATGTTACAGGACTAAAACCTCGTCACAGTTGTGTGAGTTGTACCTACAGAGAGTGACTGATGTACAGAGGTCAGTACTAGACTTGTACATGTAGTATTGTTCAAGTCATTTGTCTATAGTCTGCATGAAATACGTCAATTGTAAGTCTTTCTTCTGGGATCAAAGAGAAGATACAAGTCACAATTTCCTGTATACTAGTGCTCTGCAATTATAGTGCACCTGGGAGTGAACAGAATCAAAATAAAGATGACTGTCATACAATATTTGCCAAAAAACAGGTTGGGACTTTTCATCCTTACTTCAGGACAATTGAAATTTATTTTTGGGACAGTGCTGGGACAGTAAGAAGAAAAGTTAATTTTGAGACCTGTATTGAAAAACAAGTGACTATTCTATTCAAAACAAATGACAATTCAATTCAAAATACAATGTAAACTTTTGGGATAATAAATTGTCTCGTTTTTCCCCAGTTATCTGATCAGTAACAAGGTTGCGGCAGACTCCTTCACACAGGCCCTGCTGGCTGAGATGTCCATGTTAGAGTCCAGTAAAGCTTCACTCATCGCAAAATACCTCTTACCACTCATCCAAGGTAAGTCTATAGCACAAACCTTTCAGAAAAATATACAATCTGATTCACTCATGGTAACCTTCAATAACCTTGAACTGATTGAAAGAGTACAAGTGTCGGAGAGCACTCCGGATCATCTCACTGGGGGGTAGACGTGAGGTGTCTCCTCTGCCAACACTGAAGGAAAAGCGAGAGGTGGCGACAGTGAAGCTACTTAGGGTCACCCCCTCCATGACCTGGTTCCACCGGCCAGGACAACAGCCACTGGGAGGACCTTAAGAAATGGAACTGCACTTACAGTACCAGCAGCCCATACGAAAAGACTGAAAAACTCTTTCTTAGTATACTTGCACTCAGGGCAATAAGCCAATATGCCTGTACAACGAATAAACTGTTGAATAAACTACCCGGTAAGTACCTTATTACACCATGGTATATGTTTCATACAATCATCACACATTACACATTCCTGGCCACCCCATACCACATCCTACCACCCAGGACATATGAGTCTATAGCCCGTCAATCAGCTGAAACCCAATCTCCACCCATCCACTCTCAATCCTTAATGCTGAGGATAATATTCGTATTTTATATGAACTCCCCCTAAACCAGTGCTCAAAACAATACATTTGTACTTCTGTCCCAGAAGTACTAATGAAAGAACTGTATTGTTTGTGTGTTCTGACAGGGCACATCCCTCCGGCTATGGAGATAGGGAACTACAAATGTAACTGAGTTGTTTGTGTGTACTGACAGGACACATCCCTCCTGCTATGGAGATAGGGAACTAACTGTGTTGTTTGCAATTCCTCTTTAGCAATTTAGCTAAGTTGGTAGGATCTGACATAAACCTCAATGATCTCTCTGATGATGTTTTAGTTCATTTATTCCTTAGAGGTTCTGTATCACTATCATATCCAAATAACTTAAAATTTTTACTTTATGTTCAATCATTTATAAAGGAAACTAAAAGATTTGAGTAATTCTTTCCTATCAATTTTGTAAGTTCTGCCTGGAGTACTTTACACAATGTAACCTTATTTATTCTATTCTGTTATTATTAAGCTTTGCATGTCTGTTTTAGCATCTGCTTTTGTATTTTTGTAATGTTAGATGGCGACATGAACATAAGCTCCGGCTTGAGTGTGTCGTCATCTTGTCCACTTTGCTCATAAACGTTTTAATAAAGAAAAAAAAAAAACTGTGTTGTTTGTGTGTACTGACAGGGCACATACCTCTGGCTATGGAGATAGGGAACTAACTGTGTTGTTTGTGTGTACTGACAGGACACATACCTCTGGCTATGGAGATAGGGAACTAACTGAGTTGTTTGTGTGTACTGACAGGACACATCCCTCCGGCTATGGAGATAGGGAACTAACTGAGTTGTTTGTGTATACTGACAGGACACATCCCTCTGGCTATGGAGATAGGGAACTAACTGTGTTGTTTGTGTGTTCTGACAGGGCACATCCCTCCGGCTATGGAGATAGGGAACTAACTGTGTTGTTTGTGTGTACTGACAGGGCACATCCCTCCGGCTATGGAGATAGGGAACTAACGGTGTTGTTTGTGTGTACTGACAGGGCACATCCCTCCGGCTATGGAGATAGGGAACTAACTGAGTTGTTTGTGTGTACTGACAGGACACATCCCTCCGGCTATGGAGATAGGGAACTGTGTACGGCAGGCGCGGGCTGACATCGCCGAGCCGTCCGGAGAGTCAGATAACGTCCAGCGGTTCACGGCCGGACTGGCGCTGGCGATAGATGTGGACGCCACACTCGATAATGTGACCCAGGCACAAGATGTACTGATACAGGTATGGACTAGTACTGTGAACCTTAACCCAGATTCAGATTGGGTCCAGAGGTTTAGGTTCACCGGTCCTAAACTGGACCTACATGTAAACCCATGGCATATACAAAATATGGAAGTGTCTTTGAACTCTGAACATTTCCCAATGGAAAATGGGGCATCTTAACCACAAAATTTTGTAGTATTCACTGCGCTACCAGGGTTTACAAGCAATGTTGTTTGGGCGGCACGTCTGGGCAAAACTGCGGCTGCCACATAATTTAAGGAGGCCGACAATTGACAGTGCGCAATGGCAATATTTTGTTCATTTTGCAGTGCAAAGTTTTTATGTGGTTTGGACCTAGAAGGGGAATGTGACATGATTTTTTTTTATGAACATGTAAGTCCAGAACCAGTTCCAGACATTCATTTTTTTGGGACTTGAACTTTACAAGTCCAGAATCAGTCCAGCAAACCTGTGCACAGCACTACATGTAGGTATGGACCAGGAAAAAATGCTGTGCTAACTCCAAATTTCAAACATGTTGAATGTGTTTCAATCACTAGCTACATGTATAGAGCCCTGATATCAGTACCTCCACCTATTATGCACATGAGACATGTTTTTTTTTTCTTGGGTACCACCAATAAATAAGTGGAACCAATGCTACAAACAACCAACCCTTTTCCTTTAGCAACATCACATTTTTGCCTCACAGATATCAATTTGCTATGGGATAGGGTGGATTTAACTCAGTTGATTTATACTATTTAGAAAATGACCAAATGTTGACTTGAAAATCCAGTTTTACTGCACTTTATTAAGATACACAGCTCCAGGTACAATAAGGCCACAGCAATTAAATTTTATGGATGACATCCTTCTCAGATTCCAAATCTAATGCAAATGGGCGGAAAAAAAACAAGGCGGGCCAAAAAAAAACAAGGTTCCTACAATTTAAAATTTTGACTCAATCGATATCATTGTTACAGTACAAATGATTTTGATTCAGTGGGAACATCACATATAGTATTACATGGTCAGCATCACAGTATATATCACTGCATCAAAGTAAGAAACAAAACATTAAATCAGAGTCTTTTTTTGTCTCCTCTCTTCATAGTTATCTGCCATATCCACCTTCCGGCATGGCAACAGACATCTTTGCCCATTTTCGGCATGTTGACCACTGTCAGAAGGCAACAAAATTTCTTCTTTTTTTTTCCAAAATCAGGCAAAAATTAATGCGCGCCCTAATGTCATCCATAAAAGTTACTTGCTGTGGCCTAACTATGGTCTCCCCCTGGTGTTCCTCCCAGCTGAAGTTCCCTGACGGGGAGACCCAGCTCACCAGTGTGAGACCTGCTGATATCCACAGACTGGGCCCGCTCCGTCACAGGGTCCTCACACAGGTGTACCTGTCTCATCAACAATGGACAGGTGAGATACATGTTTTTCTTACATCTGTTATTTTAATATTTATTTTGGCCTTGAAAGGCCACACCAAACTAAAGGCCATACTAACTGAGTATGGTATGGCGAATGACTCTTTATTTTCATTTCTTCACATTTTGATTTTTGCATTCTACAACAGTTACTGTATATATATATTTTCCAATTTTTTGTTGGCAATAATTACAGTATGGTTTATATAAGACTTTTTTTTTTAAAACAGACAAAAATTCATGCTTGGGTGGATGCCCAAGCATGTTTTTGAGTAAAAGTATTCTATACTCAAAACAAGAAATCAAAGATTTTGCACCTCCAAGAAATATTGAGAAACACTGGTCACTTTAAATTTGGAAAATACACCAGCAATTGGAAAATCAAGCAGTGTAACTGTAAACCCTTAAGTGTGGTATCAATCTAAAGCTCTCATCATCAGGCACTCTTCATGTGAAAATCAATGATCAGTGATGTTTATAACTCCAGTTATGATTGATTGAAAATGCTTGTGGCCTACCAGGCTGAGATCTTGGCCTACTAGTCTGAACTATGTGGCCTGGACGGCCAGATTCTGTGCCCACTGAGCTGAACTCCCAAGGCTACTAGGCTGACCTACTTAGGCTAGATGGCCGTGAAGGCCTAAATCAACCCAGACTACTAGTCCTGTTCTGGACTGGTAGGCTGCAGGGATAGGGTGTCCTGGCGTGTAACCTGCAATTTTCCATCTGTCCACTAGGGCTAAGTGATAATCTAGACTACCAGTCTGAAAGTTCAGCCCGAGATGGCCAGAATCAGAACCACTGGGCTGCGCCTTCAAACACACACAGGCATATGCACATGATGTAGAATGTCTGTGTGCTTATACCAGATTGTAGTTAAGTTCTACAGTGTCCTGTTTAGAGTTTACTTAATATGCAATTTTGCCACAGAAAATTAGTTACTGTATACTGTAACAACTGCAATATTCTTCTGCTTGCAAGTCATCAGCATTTAGAAATCACGATTTGTGAACTCAAACAAGTGAGCGTGCAAACCTATATCAAGGTGGAGAGATACATGTACAGTACATGTCATTTTAATTTAGTGGATTGGGCACTTACACTATCATGTGGTGTCCATGAGGATGACTTGCTACATGCCCTTGACCCAATGGCAGTCCCTCCACCCCCCAAATCTGCTTTTCTCACCAACACATTCCACAAGAAGGTGCACTCAAAGAGTGACAGGGAAAAATGAACCTTTTCACAAGGGAAATCATGGATCATGCCAAGGATGGTGGACATCTCTGTGACTGTACCATCCAACTGAGAAAACACAATTAGTTCTGCTGGTATCACATGTACACTGGGCGGGAAAGTTTGAGCTGTGAATCTTGCTGTTTTAATTTTGACCAACAAGACCTGGCGGTGACTACCCAGTGCTCAGACTGCTTGTATGATTGGGTAATTGCAACACAAATAAATGTCTTCATATGTAAAAAAAATGGTATAGGGCAGCTGAGTGAGCTAATTCTACAGTGTATTGACTGGAGCCCATTCCCACATGCTGGGACATGATGGAATCAAGAGTTGCAATCGTATAGAAGAAAAAGGACACTATTAAAATAAATTAAGCTAGAGATCAAAATTAATCAACAGTCTTTGAAGAAATAGTCTTGAACTTCAATGAATAAATTAGAAAGTCCAGCATTGATAACTGAGAAGTTCAGAACATTGACTTATTTTGGTATCAATTTGAAAGTACATGTATAGTCAATTTACTCTAAATTTTACAGATCATTTTGATTTCTAAAATTTTTAATTTTTGTGCTAAGACTGACAAATAGAGAATGATCTTTGGAATTCTGGACTGACATCAAGGCAAGTTACAATTATTGTAAAACCAGAACTTGGAAACTGAATGAAGTAACGTTACATGTATATTAGACTTGCCAGTTTCCACTGGCCATCTTTCCTAAAAAAGAGACCAAAGTGAGACAGAATCCAAGAAGGATAGGCAGATTGAAAGAAAAGACTGTGCTCCAGCTTTACCCAACTCCAGTGTGGTTTGAAAAGGCAGCAGTGACCTAGATATGTCAATGGTCTGTGACAGGTAGTCCCTACAGTAAATCCCTCAAGGAGACCTGATCTCCTGCCTGAGATATTTGGACTTTTCTCCTGGTTCCAAAGAATTTTATTTCATTTTTCACAGATGGTAGTTATAACACAAGGAGTTGGCGCTGAATGGCAGCCGCTCCAGACCCTTGCGATTAAGCCCCAAATAATTGTAAGCTCCTTTTTCAATGCCTCCTTTTCCTACTACCATGTCTAAGATACATGTATACATTGTAATGTAAAGTACATGCACAAAGCACAAAGGGCCTCTTTGGAGCTACCTTTACATTATGTACTACTACCATTTTTCTGTCGCTTACATGTACATTGTACATGTATACAGGATATTCTAACTCCCAGCTGGGCAGCTCACTGTACTGGAGGTCATCACACCAAATTAACCAAGGCCTGTTCAAGACTTGTGTATCAGCCTACACTAGTCAACCACTGTCTCAAACCATACACCCATGTGGTGCCTTGCTGCTGTCTTGAAGGGATGTTACATTGTACAATGGACCTTTCCTGATCAAACAAGTCGAACCCCATGTTCTATTTCAAACACCTCGGTCAAAATCAGCGTGGGAAATCCAAAATGAGTTGATGTCTGCTTGATAAATACTCCTTGTTTTACCGGTGAAACTAAATTTGTGATATCGGAGGCAATTTCATTGTTAATCAAAGACGTTCTGTCATTCTTGTGTTTTTTTTTATGAATCTCTCATTATTGTTTATGTAACGTCCGTGTTTGCGTGCTTATGTTTCTACATGTATCACAAGTTTATAAGTTGCGCCCTTCCCTGCGACCACCCGAGATGTTTTTTTCTGATTTCGTTTTTTCTTTCCTGGCTTGTATGCAGCTGCGATGCATGCAACAAATGCCATGGAAAACCTGTTACAGATAAACGTACTCTGCGCAATACATGCATCGGTTGTTTGTGAGCAACTGGGCACTCTTGTCTGCCTACCCTGTGATGTTACTGGTATGAGTTGAATTCCATTTTGCTCTCATTAGATTAACCCTGCCCCCCTTAAATAAGTTTTACTCTGTGGATGTGTACTTGAACAAAGATGAGTGTAACTAATTTTTTTGAGGCTATTGAGAGAGTTTTTTGCTGCCGAAAACTCAACCATAATGTTGGCGGCGGCAGCCCTCACAGCCCTTCCCACGTTGTTTTTGAGCAAGGTGTTCTAAATAGAACAGGGGGTGGGGCTCACGGTATTAGACCCATTGTACATTACATTGTAGAACATAGAAACCAACTGGGTTTGACTGAATATGTAACATGGCTGCATGGTGAATCCGTATTTGGTAGGGTTCAGAGTTAATTACTTGTCAGTCTGTGCTTCCCTGTCTTGGCTTGTGGGCCAAAGCACTCTTTCTTTAATTTTAAACTGACACATTGTGAAAAGCATTGGTAGCATGTAGGGATTTCATTTCCCAACTCCATTGTTCCAGATAACACTGGGGTCTAATGAGGACACACACGTGTACTACATATGCCAGAAGGATGGCAGGCGTAACTAAGTGATTTATCCAAGGTAGTCCCCAAGTAACCATGGTAGTCTTGCAACTTCTCTCCCAGAGCCATCATAACATGGACATCATGAACATAGGTTTTGGAACCAATTTAAATATACTGTAGTTCGTGTACTCGAATGATCTTGGGTAGAAGTAGACATACTGAGCTACAATAATAACAACTGCTTATATACACGTTGCATACACCTGGTTGACCTTTAGCAAGTTAAAGACAGAATCATGATCAGATATTCATAGCTTAAAACTTCAAAACTGTCTAAAGGCCATTACATATTGTTCCTCATCAGATCTGCTTCAATACAATTGACCACTTTGACCCTCCTTCTGAAAGATTGTACCATCTGAGCTATAGGCTATTACAAACTCATCTGTCATGCCTGTAATCCTTAAACAAACAAAGTCGACCTGTGAGCCCCAGAACAACTACTGGTCAGGGTATTGCTGGCTCTGTTCTTTGGGCATTGCAGAAAAGACCTATTTTACACAATTTTAAAGTGGTGCATGCCAAAATTGTGTCTTACGTTCTTTTGGCATTTATAAGGCACATCTATAACAAATTTCAGGTCGTTTGGTTGGAATATAAGGGCACAAAAGCCAAAAATGTAATATTTTCTCTGGAAAGACCAGAAAAAAAGCTGTTTCACACAAACTTGGAGTAGTGTTTACTAAAAGTGTGAGTAAAGTTCTTTGGGCATATGTCTAAGCACCTATATACCAAATTCCAGGTAATTTGTCTGTAATATTAGGGCACAAATGCCCAAAATGAACATTTTTTTTCAGAAAATAGCAAAAAACACCTATTTTACACAATTTCAAAGACAATGTTTAGCAAGGGGTACAAAAGTAAGTAAGGTGTTCCTGAACATTTGCCGAATTTTAGGTCATTAGGGCACAGGAGCCAAAAATGTACATTTTTGTCTGAAAAAACGCAGAAAAGAACAATTTTACACAGTTACAGAGTATTGTGTGAGTAGATTATATTGGGCATATGCGTCTGGCAACTAAATACCGAATTCAAGTCTCAAAAGAGCAAAAAAGACCTATTTTACACAATTTTACATAGTGTATACCAAAGTGCCGGTGACATTCTGTGTGCATATGCACAAGGCACCCCTGTGCAAAAATTCCAGGGCATTTGGCTGTGATATGAGGTACAGAACTCAGGAGCCAAAAATGTACATTTTTGTCTGAAAAACAAAAAGACCAATTTTACACCATTTTCAAGTGGTGTATGCCAATATTGCAAAAGACATTCTGTAGGCATACATGTATGCTCTAGGCAGTACTATACCAGATTCAATGTCATTTGGCTGTAATACTAGGGCACAAGAGCCAAAATGTACATTTTCTTCTGAAAATAGCAGAAAAGACCCATTTTACACCATTTTCAAGTGGTGTATGCCAAATGTTCAAATGTCATTCTGTGGGCATATGCCATAACCTAACCACCCCTATACCAACTTTCAGGTCGATTGGTTGTAATTTAAGGGTACAGGAGCCAAAAATGTACATTTTTATCTGAAAATAGCAGAAAAGACCAATTTTCCCCCATTTTCAATTGGTGTATGCCAAAAAAGGCAATGGGATTCTTTGGCCATTTGCCTTATGTACCTCTATATCAAGTTTCAGCTCATTTGGTTGTAATATTAGAGCATAGGAGCCAAAAATGTACATTTTCTTCTGAAAATAGCAGAAAAGACCTGTTTTACACCATTTTCAAGTGGTGTGTGCCCAAAGTGTAAATGTTATTCTGTGGGCATGTGCCCTAGCCACCCTTATACCAACTTTCAGGTCAATTGGTTCTAATTTAAGGGTACAGGAGCCAAAAATGTACATTTTTATCTGAAAATAGCAGAAAAGACCTGTTTTACACCATTTTCAAGTGGTCTATGCCAAAAATGCAAATGACATTCTGTGGACATATGCCCTAGGCACCCTTGTACCAACTTTCAGGTCATTTGGTTGTAATATAAGTGTACAGGATCCATAAATGTACATTTATTGTCTGAAAATAGCAGAAAACACCCATTTTACACCATTTTCAAGTCATCTATGCCAAAAGTGTAAATGTCATTCTGTGGGAATATGCCCTAGGCACCCCTGTACCAACTTTCAGGTCATTTGGTTGTAATATAAGTGTACAGGAGCCAAAAATGTACATTTTTTGTCTGAAAATAGCAGAAAAGACCTGTTTTATACCATTTTCAAGTGGTGTGTGCCCAAAGTGTATATGTCATTCTGTGGGCATTTGCCCTAGCCTCCCCTATACCAACTTTCAGGTCAATTGGTTCTAATTTAAGGGTACAGGAGCCAAAAATGTACATTTTTTTGTCTGAAAATAGCAGAAAAGACCTGTTTTACACCATTTTCAAGTGGTGTGTGCCCAAAGTGTAAATGTCATTCTGTGGGCATGTGCCATAGCCACCCTTATACCAACTTTCAGGTCAATTTGTTCTAATTGAAGGGTACAGGAGCCAAAAATGTACATTTTTATCTGAAAATAGCAGAAAAGACCAATTTTCCACCATTTTCAATTGGTGTGTGCCAAAAGTGTAAATGTCATTCTGTGGGCATGTGCCATAGCCACCCTTATACCAACTTTCAGGTCAATTGGTTCTAATTTAAGGGTACAGGAGCCAAAAATGTACATTTTTATCTGAAAATAGCAGAAAAGACCAATTTTCCACCATTTTCAATTGGTGTATGCCAAAAAAGGCAATGGGATTCTTTGGCCATATGTCTTATGTACCTCTATATCAAGTTTCAGCTCATTTGGTTGTAATATTAGAGCATAGGAGCCAAAAATGTACATTTTTTGTCTGAAAATAGCAAAAAAGACCTATTTACACGATTTTCCACTGGTGTATGCCAAAAATATGAATGACATTCATTGGGCATATGTTCAAGGCACCCCTGTACCAACTTTCAGGTCATTTGGGTGTAATACCCGGTCTCCAGAGCCCAAAATATACATTGTCTCTGCATTGCTTGAAAGTAGCGCTGGCATGATTTCTAGGGATTTCTACAGGCTAGCATGGACTTGTACCACAGTAGGCTGCCTTTATCAGACTAGTAGGCCAACATCCTTCAAACTAGTAGGCTGACTTAGCTGGACTAGTAGTCTGAGGCAATGGACTACCAGTCTGTTCCACTCAGACTACTAGGCTCGGCAACTTTAAATGTCAAATATCTCGACAACCGTATGTGATATGACCAAAATAAAAACACCATAATGTAGAGGAAGAAGTGCCCTTTGCAATGATGTATAAAACTTTGCTGTTCTTTGATTCTAAAAATTTTTAATTTAGCCACAATTTGGAAAGTGACTTTCCAAATTTAAAGTGACCAGTGTTGAGAGCTAATTGTGAATTTCTTGCTAATTAACTGTGCATATTCTACCGTCGCACACATACAATCCTCCAGTTCCTCTGCAATCACACCATTTCCCTCCTCTTACAAATGTACTATGACTGCAGACACTCAAACAAACAAGAATTAGAAGATCTCATACCTCCATGAAATTAATGAGTTTTTGTAAATGGTTTTTTATTTGTCTTATTGACTATGGAAATAAGGTCATAATTACCATAATCTAGTTTAATTTATGGTTTTCTATATATATAAATGGTTTTCAAATGACAATATTTTTAGTGTAAAATTCCTCTCCTTTGTCATGCTTCATTTCAATATGTTCTCATTAATTATGCAAATGACCTCTGCATAATAGTGGTGTTAACCTTTAAGTAACTTACACATATCACAAGGTATAAAATTCACATTAATCATGCAAATTAGGTCATCATTTGCATAATTGGTATCTGTTGATGTTCCGCCTGCCAGAGATTACAAACAAACACACCAGCAATGAAAACCTCCGTAATTCTGTAACTTCCCATCCCACAGAGCCATGCCATGTGGAACTGGGAATGGTATTGCCCTACTCTGGGAGAGACCAAGAGGAAGAGGAGGAGGGAGGTGCAGCAGCCAACGTCATCCCTCTGTGTAAACCTGTCAAAGTGTACATCCTACCCACCCCTACCAAGAGATGAGATGGAATGGTCCAAATGTTGTCTTTGTGGCAATACAGCTTGCCCTACATGAGGGGAAACAAGAAATGACTGGAAAAATATCATTTCCTTGAACATCCCTATTTCGCAGGTGAAATATTCCACACATGTATGTTACTGACTTAGATTTGGAGCAGTCCATTTAATGAAGGGGACAAAGCAGTTTATTTAATGAAGTTTTGTTTTCCTTTAAAATAAGGCTGGCAAATGGTATAATGTTATGTTAACATCTTATAAAACTTGTGCTAATTAATGAAACTAGACTAAGTGTTGGATTCAAAGAATGTACAGTGTATGTAGAAAAGGACTTTAGAATGTCATTCTTGAACCATGATAATAAATGATGACATCTCTCATAATTGCATTGTGACTTTGTTTTTTAGGAATTAAAAATGAATAGAAAAATCAGAGATAGCAAACTTCACCCCCTTCCCTATACTGCATTGCAGTAAGACACAATATCAGAAATACCTGCACAGCTCCAATTTTACCTGCATTAACTGAGGCCATGTTGATTTGATTATATGGATGACATCCGCGCGCGCATGAATTTTTGGCCGTTTCCAAAAAAAAAAGTTTTCAACCATACTGTAAATCGTACAAAACAGTTGCAAAATGAGCAAAAATATACCATAAGTTACAAAAAAAAAATTAATAAAAACTATACTAATGTCGTAGAATTCCAAAATCAAACGAAAAAAGACGAAATTGTAAAGAAATGAACTTGAAGACTAGATTATTCGCCAAACCATATTCTGTGCAATATAATCAAATCAACATGGCCTGACTGGGAATCATAGAAACACACAAACAGACCAGGTACATTTTGTAAGCTAACAGCTCTGTGGTATCAGCTGTCTTGCTGGAGCCACTTGGGTCACAACAACATATAAACAGTGGAACATTATGCTTTTTGTGACACTTCTATTGTCCTTTATAATGGCTTATCCTGTGGTCCAAACCTGTGGAAATATAACCCTTTGTATTTAAAGAATGATACTTAAAAATAGCTTTAAAAAATCCAGCATATACTGATTTGGAAATATTTTTAAGAGAAAAATATTTCACGAATAAAGAAAACCAAGACTTTTGTATTCTTGAACTTCTTGCCCTTAAACTGTTATTCCAAGTGAACCATTTAAGACACTATTTGTGTTGTATGACGACAGTACAACATTTGAGTACCGCTCCTTTCACCATGTCTTTTGTCCCATGTCTGTATCACATTACTGTCTGTGAACTGCTGCTGAATACAAGGGGGCCAGTCTGTTGAACTTGAGGACTTCGAACAAACAAACAAGTTTGCCTTCAGCAAACATAAACCTCTCTCCCACTCTTAGACTCTTTCATGCACTTTCTACCAAAGACTAAACAACATATACGTTCCCCAGGTTTGACTTGATCCTTGACATATTTCTAACCTCTTAGGCAGTGCCAATTGAACATGATATACAAATACATGTCATACCATTGGAACCAATACTTAGGCCACAGTAAGTAATTTTTATGGATGACATCAGTGCGCGCATTAATTTTTGCCTGATTTTAGAAAAAAAAAGTTTTTTTTTGCCTTCTGACAGTGGTCAACATGCTTCAAATGGATAAAGATGTCTGTTGCCATGCCGGAAGGTGGATGGCAGATAACTATGAAGAGAGGAGACAAGAAAAGGCTCTGATAATGTTTTGTTTCTTACTTTGATGCAGTGATATGTAATGGTGGCTGTGTATATGTGATGTTCCTACTGAATCAAAACCATTTGTACCATGATTGAGTCAAAATTTAAAATTGTAGGAACCTTGTTTTTTTTCGGCCCGCCTTGTTTTTTTTTTTTGCCCGCTCGCATTAGATTTGGAATCTGCGGAGGATGTCATCCATAAAATTTACTTGCTGTGGCCTTAGATACCAATTAGGGTCTAAATGGGAGCTGCCATTCAGGTACTCGATTATGCTGGTCAATTTCTTTGGTTAACAATCATGAAATTGTGCAGACTTGGTTACTAGTAATTTTGTATTCATAGCATTGTGGTATCTCATGACCTGCCTCTAGAGTTGATTTTGCATTAAAAAGTTGTTTATTAAGAACGAAAAGAAATGTTCTACATGTACATGTACTTAAGTGCCAATTAGAAGTCAACAAAGCCGAGGCCCGTCATGCTATACAAATACAATTGAGTTAAATTGTAGACAAATTTGACCCCCGAACTCGCCACGACAAAGGGCATTATATAATGCCCATGCCCCAATATTTGCAGCACTACTTCCGAAAACTAGCCAACCGTGTCCGAACCGCACCCGATTGTTTTGAACAGTTTGAAACATTTGACTAGCGTAGCTGCAGTAGCCGAACACCAACCAACCACAGCTGACCTTCGACCTACTGCTAACGATGGATACGGAGTTCAGCAGTGTTCAGGGCGCCATATTCTGCTATGTGTGATCGGGCCTTGACCGAGGTCACAGATGCACCCCTGGTGTCACCCTACCTGTGGAGTTGCCAAAATAACCCAGGTGAAAGTCTCTCCAACAGGACCGCCCGGATCAATGACTCGTTCCCTGAATTGTCGTTTGAAGACTATTTGTCCAAGAAACTTGAGCCGTGATTAGCTGCCAGGGATCGGGCCTACCGCGCTATTTGTACAACACGGCGGTCTTTTGTTGACTGCGAGTTGAGCGCCGTTCGTGGCTATGTTGACTTGAAAAGATCCCCTCGCGTTCTTAGCAGGTGTGTGGTTGCCGGTCGATAGGGACATCCACTTAAATACTGCAAATCTATTACTGAGCACAAGGGACAGATCACACCGGATCTTGATCGTGAGCTGCTGAACTACGCTAGTATTGTTTTTATCAGGAGTTTTGTTTTTAGAATATAAACAGAAGGATACTGTGATAAGAAAGTTTGGCGGGGAGACTACAACAGATTGTTGTCACACGCCGTAGTTGTTTTGGTGAACCACTACGCGCCATACCTTAGGTTTTGTTGGTCATGGAGCCGGACAATGAACTGAAGCCACAGGGTAAGTTTTGTCTCTTCCTTTACCTGACATAAGGACCTGACCACATTGGTCGTAATTATGATCGTACAATCACAAACTTGGGGGCCGTCTTGCGATAGTTGTGCCTCCAAAATTCAGCCGTCTTGTTAAAAAAAGCTTAGTCTTATTTGATCGTAGATCCCTGTCGGCTGTTGGTTCTGTCCCAGTCTGTTTGAAAATTGTACGGCTTTAAAAATCGTACGACGTCCTACGACTAAATATGACGTTGTCGTAAACCATGATCTTCGTTCTCTCTCACGTCGTATTACATCTGGTATGTTTCATGTTAAATTGACATTTTATACCAAGGACATTTATTGAATTTGCTCTTGCTGTAGATGTGGTGCCTGGAATGTTTTTACATCAATCGCCCCAACAACACATTGCTTATTAGTGCCAATAATGCAGTACATGTATATGAATTATCATGCATAAGGTAACCATATAGTTACTATAGACATGTAGAAATTAGATATCAGACGACAGTTCCCTTCAGCATAGTTTTGCTACGATGTAGATTTCATTCAGCTGTACGAAATGAGTCTCGTCAATATTATAAACAAGTCAAAACAGTACTAGAGGGGTTAGGGGTAACTTCTTTACGTGTGTGTGTGAACTGAGACAGTTACTGCTATGCTACACTGAAGCTATGCAGAGTCATTCCCCGTCACTGTTGACCCGTTTCTGATGTGTGCCTGCGCACGTAGACGAGGTATTAAATTATTTACCACCGCGTCCAAAATGCTCCCTTACCTCCCCACCATTCCCTACCACAAAAAGAAAAAGACAATTTTACTGCTAAAATCAAAGAACCCACATATTATAGACATTATAGAAGAAGTGGGTAAATTCGTCTTCCATTGCCTAAAAAGAAGAAGTCAAACCCAGTAAAACTAGTACCATGTATGTTGTAGAATATACTATAATGCTAGACGTACCACTGTATTTTCTTTCTTATGTTGTTTGTAACTGCAATTAGCCCTCGGGCAAGTATTTGCAATAATCTTTCACTCCATTAAAATCTTGACGCAACTGGACAAAGATTGACTTCGACTAGTCGTTCTAGATGCTGTTTTTTTGTCTGTCTGTCTGTCTGTCTGTCTGTTTGTTTGTTTGTTTGTTTGTTTGCTGAAAGATTCCCGACAAGATTTTACATGGCCAGCCAGGTTCAATCGCGATCTAAAAGTAAAGAATACGTTTGTATCCATGGAATCGGAACCATGTTGTTAAACGCTTGATCACAAGTGAAAGTTGGTGTCAGTTACAGTAGTTACGATAGGTGAAAGTCTGTCTTCGGTTAGCAAAACTATTTTTGTGTCGCTCTTTCGGATTGATCTAACTGCTAAACAAAGGCACAAGGTTTATAGGTTAAGCAAATCCGGCCGGATCTTCACAGAAATTCAGACAAATGGGGTAGATGTTTTGTTCTGGAAGAGACCACTAGCGGCAAAACACAAAACTGCACGGTCTTGCCCCTGCTTTAGGACATTATAATAGCTGTGTGACCCAAGGACTTTGAAACGTCGATGGACGCAGCACTATATACAAGTACATATTATAAAGATTATAACTTGAATTTGAAAAGACAACAATATCAATTCCGTTTCATTCAAACGTCACGCGGAATATATTTATGGGTTCACCACACCACGAAGTGGTGGTGAACCCATATTGCTTTTTCTGATGTTTCTTCTTCTTCTCCTCCTTCTCCTCCTGCCATTTTTTAAATGGATTCAGCTTCTTCATTTTAGGGCCTAAGGTCCTGAAATTTGGTATGGAGGTACAGTGGGCAAATACCCCTAGGCGTTTTTTAAATTTTTGTGATAGAGACTTTTAGAATGGTTTTATTTGAGTTTTTTGGCTGTGTTATAGCAAATGTATTACTGTGTTAGTGTGCCGTGTTTACCACGTCTGGGCATGAGACATCACAATGGAATGCAGGGCATCAACCAATAGGCATGCAGCTTTCCTCTATACCTCTTGCTGATTGGCTGTTGGGATTTAACTTGATTAACACCTGCACAGAGCATTTCCACCTGCACAGAGCATTTCTTGCTGATTGGCTGTTGGGATTTAACTTGATTAACACCTGCACAGAGCATTTCCATACTAACAGTATGTCTTTATTCAAGTGTTTTGGTAGGTATTTCAAGCTTTTCTGCTCCAGCATTGGAATGCGGGGCATGAACGTTTTTTTATTTATTTTGAAAATCAACAGTTTGCATTATGCAATTAAAAATCCTAACCAATAAAGTAGGGAATAGCTATCCAACTGTTGTTTTAGTTGTATGTTACTTCATATTATAGTTATATCAATGTAAATCATTGTTTTCCCTTGTGTTTCTCATTCTTTCCCTGCCATGTCGTAAAATGTGGTGAACCCATCGCTGTATTTGCTCCAAAGCAAGTATTGGCCTTTCTAGTCAGAAATTTTTTTTTTAAATCTTAATTTTTTTATATGAAGAGTTATTGTACTATATATACTACAGAAAAGCGTTTTGCCTAATATGGTACACTTTCCTCTTTTCAGTCGACGATGCCTTCTTGATGAGACTTGCAGATCAGTTGGAAAACGAATGGCGGCGCTTGGGCACGCACCTCGCCATCAAGAAGGCGGAGGTCGACCGATGTTTAGCCGACCACCCTGGGAACGAGGCGGAGGCCGTGTATGCCATGCTGGTCCTGTGGTTCACGCGAACTCGAGACAAAGGGCCGGGCGTCCAGACCAGGACACTGGCGGAGGCGCTCAAGAAGTGTGGCCGCAGGGATCTGGCTGAGGCCGTAGAGGAAAGACACCCTGACTAGTATTACGATGTAATAATTACGCCCTCACAGAAACGTGCCCTCAGAATCATTCTTGGAAATAAGTACACTTCCTATACGAATGCATTCTCTACTTTTAACATCTACACTCTAAAAGCCAGAAGGGAATCATTGTGTCTTAAATTTGCAAAATCTCTGTTGAATTCACCAACGTTTAGACCCTGGCTACCCCACACCCGCAATGAAGTACATAATAGGGACTTAAAAGGGGGTTTCCAGCTTAGCCTACCATCTATAAGATCTGTAAGGTACAGGAACAGTGCTATTCCATACCTGTCAAAACTCTTAAACAGTTCTTCGTCTACTGTGTAATCATCCGACTACCAATTGTATATATTATTGTTATTTAGTTTGGTTATGTTTGTAAATATTAATGATATTTTGTACAATTGTGTGTTCCCTAAAACTACGTAATTCAGCCTTTTTTTACATTGCATTATTAGGCTGCAATGTTGTTTTAGTTTTATGTCAATTTGCAAATAAATCATTTATCAATCAATCAATCAATCAATAAATAAATCAATCAATCAAATGGTTTATTTGTAAAAACAAATCCTTGTAGCCATCGGCTAAATTGTGTCTTGCTGTACAATTTTGATTTATGACATATCTGGCATAACACACTAAAATTACTAGTTAATAAATAAAATCAATATCATTATACATTGACATACTTAAAAATAACAGTTACAATTTCAACATTAAAACTAACAATTAAAACATATATTGAATACTAACACAAAAATATACAATGTATATTTATATGTATGTATTGTGAAAATCTTGAAAATGCAATTGCTAACACGAAGAATGTTGGACTGTAGGAGCAGGCTTTGTCGATATATATATACTCTGACGATTGACTCGACAAGCAACGAGTCAAATGTAGCAGGTAGAGATTGTAACGTCTCCCGTCTCTGGGCTGATTGTCAATATGGCCCTGATGTAAAAACTATATTGGTATTCTTGAAGAGGTTCATCAGTCACGTAGAGTGATCAGTTAGTAGAAATTCTTCGATCAGTGACTGTATTTTTGTAAGGTAAATTACGTACCTCCAAATTTTTGGCGTCGACTGTACACCTTGATCAAAGAAACCGGTTACTAATAAAGGGTTAATGCCCCGCCCCGAGGTGTATATGGTGAGATAATCCCTGGTCAATACTACAAGTCTACTACTACAGGGGACTACTGTTAGTGCCCTGTCCCCTGTATAATGGTACGGTCCAAAAAGTGGTCCGGTTACGGCCTGATAACCAATGGCAAATGCAGCCTTCGGATTGGTCGACGCCTTCTGGCTATAAGATAATTTACGTTAATGTCATAGATTATAGCTGTTGTACTCGTTTTGTTCAGGAGCAAGTTTAAGAAAAATAAGTTTCACATCCGTCTTAAGGCATCCAATGCAATTTCTGGGTGGCGAAACAAAACAAAATATTCAAAATTAGGAAATCTGTCAAATATTGATATTTGATACCTTTTTTGACAAATTGTCGTCATTGTTTCATACTTGAAGCGTTTGAAATATCCCAAAAATAAGTTACGAAGGGGTTCCTTTATATTTTGGTACCACCAGTCAAACAGCTGCAACTAGCCTACAACGCATCGACATCGCATCTTTGCCTCACAGATATCAGTATGCTATGAGATAGGATTGATTCAACTTAGGCCACAGCAAGTAACTTTTATCGATGACATCAGCACGCGCATTAATTTTCGCCTGATTTTGGAAAAAAAAACAAGAATTTTTTTTTTTGCCTTCTGACAGTGGTCACCATGCCGAAAATGGGCAAAGATGTCAGAGAGGACACAAGAAAAGACTCTGATTTAATGTTTTGTTTCTTACTTTGATGCAGTGATATGTGATGCTGGCTGTGTATATGTAATGTTCCTACTGACTCAAAACCATTTGTACAATGATTGAGTCAAAATTTAAAAATGTAGGAACCTTGTTTTTTTGGCCTGCCTTGTTTTTTTTTCGCCCGCTCGCGTTAGATTTGGAATCTGCGGAGGATGTCATCCATAAAATTTACTTGCTGTGGCCTTACTACTGTAAAAGCCAGGAAATTGACTTTGAAAGCCTTACTGCACTGAAATACCGTTGGTGCCTTTAAGAAAACATTCACATCTATCGCAAACTTGTATATGTTTGCTATTGTTAAATCTGCACCATTTTAAAGTTTTTAAACATTGCAAGTCTCATTTCATAAACAACTCGACCTTGTTTTTCCACGTTCTCTTGTTTCTAAGCAACATTGTTGACTTGGATTACTCATGGATAATAATTTGTAAGTTGTGAACTGAACTGAAAAAAACAAAACAAATATCGATGTTTCTAAATAAACTACATGTATTTTACTCCAGCGTATGCAATGCATAAATGTACACAAGAAATCTTATATAATTACGTCTATTGTTTAAAGAAACAGTCCAAACTAGAAATTGGTCAACCCATTACCACAGTCTAAATGTTATTCTGATCTAAATATTCAAATATGTGAGAGAATACTAAGGAAACTCAAAGTTAAACCATCTATCTTGTCATACTCAATTTGGGTGAAGCATAGTTATGTGTTTTTAAATATCAAACAGTGCGGCTTCACTATGGTTAGAAAATTCGGCAGAAAGCACACTGGTTCACCCCTATTCTTAGTTTGTTGGGTTGGAATTCTTTTACATGAAAAAAAAAAGAAAAAGAATATTTGATTCGTTTCAAACCCCAGTTACTAATACGCTATCTAAATATAAGACAATCTGTAAAAGCATATTGTCAGGATAATTTCTGCATCATTGAACGCATGTAAATGGCGTACAAATATACAATAAGAAGTTTTTCCGTTGACATTTTCGCAACAACGACGCCACAAATTTTGCTTAAAATGAGGTAATAAATTGCGCAATCAAGACAGTGGTCAAGTTTCTAGTGTCAAGACGCAAAAAAAAGCGATTGAGGTAGCTATAGAAGGGGTGTTATCCCATTTTTAAACTAGTAGTATGTTTCTGAAATATCTATATGCATCACTTCAGCTACCTACAAATGTACATGGCAAAAATCACGACAATCCGTCAACCGGTTCTTGAGTAATCCCCCTCCGAAGATTTTTCAAGAAACTCCTGCAGTTCCAAAAAAGACGATAGGGGGCCCAAACTCATGCCATTTCTTTACTAGCCCAAGAGCTTTCTACCATCCAGAATTCGCGACCCTAGCATTTCCAGATCGTGAGATATCAAAACCAGAAGATCTATTGCATGCAGTACCGACAAAAGCCGCCAGGGGGCCCAAATCTAATTATTTCTAGGTCTCATCAAGACCTACGTACCTACCAAGTTTCATGCATGTGACAATGCATACAAAGCTTGAGTTATGCTGTTCACAAACAGTCAGACAAACAAACAAACAAATAAACGGACAAACACTTCTGAAAACACTGTCAGTCCGTGGGAGGGTTAATTGTAATTAAACTCTACAGTGACGACAGTTGACACACCGGCTTACCAACTGACCACACAGGCCAATTATGCCCTCTATTTGACTAAATTCAATTGTTTGTTTTTTTAAATCCGTGTTTTTATGATCACACGAGATTATCTAATCTCCTGCATGACACATACATGGTGTGAATTGTCGGTTGCCCTATCCGCCCCCAGACCACCACCATACCCCACGGCTAGAAATCTGGTCAACCGAATTCTGGTTTGTCACGCATCAGTAGTTTCAGAACAAAACAGATCGTGCTAGATTTTGCACATTATCCAGATGATGCAGATTTCTGCCAATTTATCCCACCTTCAATATTGAATCAGATGTAAAGAAATTTTGAGTACATAAATGGCATGTATCTGAAGGAAAACTGTACGTGTTTTTCCAGTCTTATCGTTCAGCAAGGTCACATGGTTTGTCTAACACTGTCTGGTGTACGTCCACCAACCTCATCATGTGACGTCTCACCAGTCTTCAACCTACTTTATATGGAGCTATAAAGTGTGAATATTTATTAAACATGTAACATTGCCACAGACAGTGTTGTTGATTTTAGACCGTTTTCTTAAATGGCTTATTTCTCACAGATGTATATCAGCTTGTAGATGTTTTGTGCGGATTTTGCTCGTTTAACACGTCACCTAATTGCAGATGAGGTGTACTTTTCTCGGAACGCCCTGCCCTGGTCACAGAAACACTTACTTCGTGGTGACATCACAATGGAGTCTGACCTTGTTGTCTGCTCGGAGCCAATCAAAACGCTGAATGATGACTACAACAAAGTTAGGTACAAGTCATGGGGAATCCCCTGCCCTGTACCCTCATGATCGGGCCCGAACAACCGGACCTGCGGGTCTGCGCAAAGATCAGAACTTTGGAGAATCCTGTGGTAACCAGACCTGCGTCAAAGTTCCGCGGGACCATCCACAGACTTCCCTCACTCTATCTTCTTTTTAGTGGGTAAAGCGTTCATTTTACGTTGAAAATGAGCACGGAGAAGCTCACTATGGATAGCGATGGTTATTTCAGCCGTCGTCGCGGCCCCGGCCCCGGTCCCATCGCCTTCACCTCGCTGGTGCAACTCTTGACCGCGAGTATGTCCGTGATCATCATCGTCCTCGCTATCCAACAGGGGACACACTACCAGAAGATAGTCGCTGACCTCGAGAAGGAAGTGGCAGTCATGAAGGCACGACGAGAGGTCGACTTGACGCTGCTCAGCGCTCGGCTCGAAGCCCTGGAGGCAAAAACCAACAATGCGCAAGTAACTGGTGACGTCAATTCTCGTCCTCAGGTAATGACAACTTACAGCTCAATATTTTATGCCAGTCATATTATTACGTTCAGCAAGGATATTGTTTTCCCTAGTGTTTTTGCATGTAATACTATGTATGTAATACATGTGTCAGGTTTAGCACGATAACTAAAAAAAAACTTAGGGTGGATTGTTATTAAACTTATTCGGTGGTTAGTTTTGATGAAACCTCGAAATGATTACAGGACGCCCCTCCCCCCGGCGCATGTCCTTGGTACTGCAGGTTTTGATAATCCGTGATCTGGACATAGTTGGGTCACCAGTTTTGCATGGTAGATAGTTCTTGTGCTCAGGAAGAAGTAAAGTTGAACATTATTACCAAACACAATTTATTCTAATCAGAACCTCATTTGCATAATTTATGAGGAAATGTTAGAAAAACCTTCTTTGACAGAAGAGAAGACTTATTGGGTGGTGAATGTGATAAACTTATTCATGGCATTTCCATTACCTTCTTTATTTATTTCATTTGTTGCATTTTATTCGCTTGTTTCATATAAGTTATTAGTTTACCGTATGATTTTGAAGCACTTTACCAATATGTTATCTTTGCAATTAAGCTAATTGTACCTTTGTTTTCCTGTTTGTTATTTTAAGCTAATAAGTATATTTTGTAAATGTATATGTCCGCAGGGAACATTGAAAAACGCCCTTGCGGCGACATGTTTACCCTGGGTAAATAAATAAAAATGAATGAAATGAAATAAATCGTCAGTAGGAAAAGTTCACATGAATCGGTGAAGGTATGAGGTCGTAGACTTACTTACTTAGACTTAGTTCCTCCCGTGCAAGGCACATTGGGCAGCAAGTCTTCTCCACTCTGCTCTGTCGTTGGCGAGAGTCTCGGCATCCTTCAGTGATATCCCCCTACTTTCCAGATCTTTTTGAAGGGTACGTCGTCATGTTAGTTTGGGTCTCCCTCTTTTCCGCTTGCCCTCTGGTTTCCAGAACATAGATGTCTTGGCGTGGCGGGCTGAGGTCATCCTGAGGACATGTCCAGCATACCTCATCCTCCTCTCGGTGATGTTGATGCTGAGTGGTTTTGTACCAGTTCTGTGGTATACTTCCTTGTTGGTGATCCTGTCTCTGTATGTTATGTGTAGAATTTTACGGAGGCATCGTTGTTGGAAGGCATCCAGCTTGTTCCGCATTTTTGTTGTTATCTTCCATGTTTCACATGCATAGAGTGCAGTTGGTATTACTACTGACTGTAGCAGCTTGGTTTTCAGCACTCTGGATATCTCCCCACTGTTCCACACTGGGTTCATCCTTCTGAATAAGGTCGTAGAACTCTTGTCAATTCTTTGATGAATTGTGAGTATTCAATAAATGATTTTTGATATAAGAAGGATATTCCATTACCAATTTTTGTCAACAGGAAGTTTTAAGTTGATTTCTACAAGGAAGTATGAACTAATTTTACTTACTTACTTACTGTTATGTTTCATATGTTCTCTATTGTTATTATCATTATATTTCAGTCCATACCATGGTATGGATGAAATATATTGTGTTCTCTCATGTTTCTCCTTCTCCTCCTCCTTCTCCTCCTCCTGCCAAACAGTCAAAGGGATTCAACTCCGCCATCATTCAGCCAAATGACCTGAAATTTGGCATGGAGGTAGAGTGGGCAAATACCCCAAGACGTTTTTTTCATTTTTTTGAAACATGCCTTTGACAAATTTTTATGAAGGTTTTTTGGGGCATTTTTCGAGAAAAAATGGATTTTTGGATCCTGAGCCCTGGTATTACAACCAAATGATATGACATTCGGTATAAGGGTACCTTAAACGTGTGTCTACAGAATAGCAGTCATGTATTTGGCATACACCACTTCCAAATGACTCATTTGGGGGACTTTAATGGCTATTTTCAGCAAAAAAATTGCCAAAAGTGCTATACCCGTTCCATGTTCTATCTAAAGAATGGCCGGTTCCATCCATGGAACACGTGTTCCATTGCAGGTTACCTGAGGTCACATTGCACCTAAGTGGTGCGTAATGACCCACAAATTCAATTTTATGTGCCTAAGACCTTCAAAATGTATCAAATCTCATCATTGTTGGTTTTTGCATACCTGTACTAAGATTAGTAAAGCTTTCGAGATTCAAAGTACTTGTTGTTGCATCTTTGTTCTCATATAGCTACTATTTAATTCATTTATTTGAGAACCTTTGCCAGTTTTGCACTGGGGTAAGTTTGGAATAGTCCACTTTTGCGTGGGAGGGAGATGGACTGAAATATGCTGTATTTGCTCCCAAGCAAATGTCGGCCTTTCTAGTTGTTATTATTATTGTTATGCTTTTAATTGAAATGGGGGAGGACTAGAATAAGCCCTTAGTCTTTTTTCGTATTTTTTCATATCCATTATTTTTAGGTTAATTATTCTATATTCTGTTTCGTTCGATTAGTATATTCACTTACTGTATTGTTATTAATGTATATACGTGCAAATAAAAATAAAAAAAGAATCAAAATAAACAATTAGTAACGTTGACATTATTCGCGCATGCCAGGCGGAACCTGACAAAACCAGTGATGCCTCTAAATCTGTTGCCGAGTCGTACGCCAGTACTGAGAGTGCGGACGTCCCTGCACATCATCAAAGACAAAAGAGGGCGGCGAACTCTGTGACATGGCCGGCTGGGGCGGGCGGTAAGTCCAACTTCTTCATGAGTTGAAGCCAAGTTGGCATCGATTATTGTTTTCAGAACCTATCTATTCCTGGATTTCTTTCCTAAATCGCCAGGCGTTTCAGGTAGCATCCACTATCTTCGATTAATGACTGACACTTCCTCATAATTATCCAGTTACATGATTCATTGTGAATCATGTTTTGGCTGAGGGTTCAATGCTATAGTCGTCAAATTGAGGCTAACTAACTCTTGTGGTGGCTGATAGCTGTTTTAGACTCCCTACAGGTCGCATAGTACTATCGTTAGTAGACATTAGTGATACGTTTAATAGTTGGGATAAAGATGCCTATGCAGGTGGAATTTAGATGCCCATATTTTGACATTTTCCACTTTCCAAATTATGCGTTTGGTGTGTCAACATCCCATGCCCTGTCTTTTGCATGTCTTTGTACTTTTATCCGTACTATTGAAATTGACTCGCCGGTGAAGGTTAGAAAGAAAAAAAAATTACTCGAGCAACTTCCAAAATCATATCCAGTTGCTTAACTGTTTTTGGTGTATTGAAATGTACTCTTGTTCCTCCTCAGCCTGTTTACAGGGTCCGCCCGGGAGAGACGGTCGGGACGGCATGCCGGGCCGGGACTGTCCTTGTGGAACAAAAGGTACGACTATATGAATATACAAATAACCTATACTTGAATTTTGAACAGAGAGGCTCTCTCGAGTGAAATCGACGTGAGTTTCAAATCTTGCATAACAAGTTTGGAAGAGACATAAAATAATGGTGTAGGATATGAGGACCTGGTGCCTAGTGTCTAGCTATATACATCTTCTGGTCGGTTCACATTTTTGTTATTCACACAAAATTGTAATAATTTGATGTATCGAGAGAGAGCTATGAGTCAAAATTTAAAAAAATAAATGCTCATTTATTGTTAATTGTTAATAATGACTATTGTATATGTATGCTGATATGAGTATAAGATTCCAAATTCAAAGTTTTCTTCAAAATGCTTTTACTAATCTAACAGGTACTAATAGGTACATTTTCCCAAAAGCCCCAGAACTAGATGAACTACAAAGGAAGTGTGAGGATCTCGAACAGAGGGTGTCAGACCTGGAGAATACAACCGAGACCACGCCCACGCCTTGCTCAGGAGGTAACGTATGTTTTGTATATTGCATCTTTGACAATTTCACCACTAACTCTGAAATATTGATGGAGACATCCGCATATTTTACCCACACTGGAGAGGCAGAGTGCTCGCCTTGGAACCAAGAGGTCCTGGGTTCGAGCCTGACAAGCTACCGATCTTGTGCCCTTGGGAAAGGCACTTTACACGACTTTCCTCACTTCACTCAGGTGAAACATGAGTATTGTATTATCCCCCGTGTTGGTGGCGGCATTAAGTTGATAAAAAAACTTGAGTTTGCCGTCACCACGTCTTGTGGTTATATGTTGGAATATAAAAAATAATGATATCACAATAAATGCACGAACCAAAAGCTGTATTCTTTTTCTTGGTTTTCCAAAACAGATACATGCAATCTACCGTCTAGCTGCACTGAAGTAGCAGGAAGAAGTGGGTTTGATAACCAGGCGTTCTACGTGATCGACCCAGACGGACCAGGACGCGGGGTCCTGCCGATGGTTGTTCAGTGCGACCTGGAGGGACAAAAAGGTTAGAAAACTTCAAAGATTGCGCTGACAGTCAACTCACAGTTTAAATACCTCCATGAAATATGGGCTTGATATGTAAATGTAAATTTCTTCTTTAATTATGAAAATGACCTCAGCATTAAAATAATATATGCATCGTGATGTTAACTTTTGATTATCTTACAGATGTCCCAAGTATGAAGTTATGCTGACTACAAATGTGCGGAAACACACACACACACACACACACACAGACACACACAGACACACACAGACACGCCAAAAACAATACCTCCATTTTTCATGGAGGTAACAAGACCATAGCATGTTCAGGACAAAAGATACAAAAACCGGAAGTTCTGCTGCAGTACCAAGGTCATCTACCAGGAGGCCCATATTTGACCTTGACCTTTGTCTTCCTAAGACTTACCAGAATACCAAATATCATCACAGTCCATAAAGGCGTTATGAAGTTATACTGACTACAAATGTGCAGAAACACAAACACACAGACACACAGACGCGCCAAAAACCATACCTCCATTTTTCATGGAGATAGAAACATTAAACTTAAGGTAATTGACCTTGTAAATTTTAGGCTTCTAACCGTAATGATAATGTTCACACAGGCTAAATAGATAAGATTCACCAAAAACTGCACAGTCTGATATTTGAACACTTTATAACAATTTCAGCAATTACGCTGATTGGACACGACAGTGAGGCACGGACACATGTGGATGGGGTTGAGGATCCAGGCAGCTACTCCAAGGATGTGACATACTGGAACAGCATGGAGCAAGTGAGAGCTGTGGTGGACCGGTCATCTCTGTGCAAACAGCTCATCAAGGTACGTTTTGTTTATAATTACATTTCAGACATGCCATGCGTGAGCCTGAGATGCAGATGTGCTTAGTATATATATATATATATATATATATATATATATATATATATATATATATATATATATATATATATATATATATATTTGAAACATAATACAATACCTTACTCAAGACATTATATGTTGCTATAATGATTCTTACTCTGTGATATTGCAAACGCCATGGTGACATTTAGCTCAGAATTATACAAATTCACATTTTCCAGTATGAATGCTATGGTTCAGTGATCTGGAGTGGCAGCATGAACTACGCCTGGTGGGTGACTTGGGACGGTCGCCAGGCTGACTACTGGGGAGGTGCCAGTCCTGGGAGCGGGAAATGTGCCTGTGGACAAGCAGGTAATTATAAATCAGCAACCTGCAACATACAAACTTATTCCATTTTAGCCCGAACAGTACAAGGGCACACCAGGATCACCATCTGAAACAAGAGTTCTGAGATCTCATACCTCCACGAAATATGGGCTTGCTTTGTCATACCCATCATGCAGGCCCATCATACTTCATTTTAACATGTCCTCATTAATTATGCAAAAAACCTCTACATTAACATAATATATGCATAGTGGTACTAACCTTTAACTAACTTACACATGTCAGGATGTATAAAATTCCCATCATTCACCAATAAGGAGTCACAAAATTTTCACATTAATTATGCAAATTAGGTCTTCATTTGCATAATTGGCATCTGTTGATGTTCCGCCTGCCATAGATTAAATAGATTACATGTATAGCAGTACTATTGTATAAAACACTGTAATTATAAAGTTTCCTCATTAATTATGCAAATTAAGCCCTAATTTGCATAATTTGCATTTAATTATGTGCAACTCTCTCTCTCAGGTACCTACACACCAAAAATGATGAAAATACGTTGTTCCAATTTGCTTTGAAAGTTTTTACCAGAAACTAACCTGCAGTTCTAGAACAAGCTGCTAGGGGGACCAAACCTACACCACTTTTTCCTGACAGGATAAGCTATCTGTAACCTACATTAACATAACATAACATAACATAACATAACATAACATAACATAACATAACATAACATAACATAACATAACATAACATAAGCAAAACCACTTCATGCCCTTATTACTTTGCCCAACAGGCACATGCTCCCGTAGATGTAACTGTGATGCCAATGATCAGACATGGCGTGAGGATTCTGGGTTCCTGTCTCACAAGGATGACCTGCCGGTCACCCAGCTCAGGTTCGGGGATGCTAGTACTCGCGAAGAAGGCTATTACACCCTGGGGAAACTTATCTGCTATCCATGAGTCTAACTGTTAATAATTGTCAGTCTCTTACGTAAAGACATAAGCCAGTGCATTAGGTTTCACTTAAACATCACGTTAGCACGTAACAGTGTTGCACACAAGTTACATATTTGGTGTTCCATTTCATCCTTAACATGTGTAGTTAAGATAAGATAGTGTAGTTAAGATAACGGATCTATTTTCTTTGTTTTTGGAAGGTCTTGTTAGGCAACATATATTATCAGTAGATGTGGTCACTAGTACAAAATGTAAGTCTGAGGTGTCGATGTTTATGTTTCCTTGTAGGTCTTACAAATTGTACCAAAATCAAATATAGCGGTTTATAGATTTTAAACTATTTTGATTTGTTTCTTAAGGCTTACATTGTTTACTGTTTGAATTAAGTAGCAAGAGATACAACGCCTCTTAATGTACTTGAATAGTGTACCTAGAGCCTAACTCAATTGATCAAAATATGCAAAGATAGTGGTTGGAGTTGAATAGATATTTTTTTTTATTCAGAATCAAAAAGATGATTACAAATGAAAAGACATGGACTAAGTGGCTGCTAACTCAAGTTAGGTACAACTTATATTCCACGGTGGTAAAATCTGGGCTGAAAAGTTCCCACATGTCATAGAACCCGAACTGTGTTCGATCGTGTTCGATCTGGGGAATTCGAATCGAACCCGCGTTCTATTTCGGGGTCACCTGCGGTCATTTACTATAAAGCGGCAAAACAAGCCTTTCTACCTCCGTGCATTGCAACAGATAAAAAACAACACTTTTCTATAGATACAAACAGTATCCTGGACAGTACATGTCCGCTATTATTTTTGGTGGGTATGTAACATGTAGCGAAGCTACTGTCGTATCCTTGAGTGACCTTGAATACTGTAATGATTCTTTACGCCAGTATGAATAACACAATGCACACTTTCTGGCGATATGACATGTCTCCAAAACTCGTTCAAACCTGGAAACATGGAGAGTCAAACATACCCCATTTACGGCTCAAAATGACTGTAACGGTTGTCCCGAAAATCGTGTTTTAGGGATTTTTGAAAAATGGCCTCGATTTTGAATTATGGGTAATTTAGTGAGAAAAATGTCAAAAAATGCAATTTTTTCACCTAAATGTCGACAAAAACTAGACTTAAAATCAGAAATTAAAAAATCCCTAAAACACGATTTTTTGTCTTATTCCTAGTCTGCGAAAAATATAAAAATCGGGGATCTGGGGTAATATACGTAGCCAGGTTTGAACGATGTTTGCCTAAAAACGTGACATGACATGTGCTCGGAAACCCGAAAATGATCGTCTTTCTGAGCGAAATTTTAAAAAATCATTGATTTAACTTAAAAAGCTAACATTTAAAGGATGTTAAGACGATAATTTTATTTTAATTTGACGAAATTTACCCCTAAATATTATTTGTGTATTTTCAAATATTTTACGGGTAGTCCAAAACAGGCCAAAATAGCGTCTTGTAACCCGATACCTTTTAGAACGCGCATAGCAATGGGAAAGAATGCCGTAGTGACAGACCGCCGTGTTCTCGCAGCCACTTTTACAATGAAAGAAAAATATTTTACAAGACATTAAAAGTACATGAGACCTCGCGTGAGTAACAAACCTCCCATCCCAGAAGATGTTTAGATATTTTGGTGTGTATTAACTTAATCTGCAACTTTTAATGTGTCATCCTCTTATATACTACACGTACAACCAAATCATAAAATATCCGAAACTCGAGTAGCACATGTGCAGTACAGTGTTTTTAAACAGGATTCATTCTTGATACCAAGTTCTAAACTCCAGGTGTACTTGTAAGTTAATGTTCTGTTGGTGATGTAGATTATTGATTTGTTCATCTTTGCATTAATTTATGCAATGGACTTGCTGATAGTGTGATTTACATTTTCTTGGTGAATAAAATCTGAGAACTTCTAAAGCACTTGTATGTCCGTGTCCTTAGTCCTTCAGCACAGTTTGAACGTGGTGGACGTCCCAATTACAAAGTACCTAATACCAGCCCAGAGGAGAAGAAGAAATAATAGCCATGCCTTCAAGTGCCAGACTTATTAACCAAGGATTGAGGTGTTCAAGAATTCATTCTTTCCTAGAACTATTGCAAAGTGGAACTCGCTATCACCAAGTACAGTAGGGGCATTGTCATTAGATAGATTTAAACAACGTCTAGAGTTAGATGGTCAATGGTTAGGTGCAACAAGTTGATCGGTGTAATGTGGCCAGCTGCCGCCGCGCCGCGTGCCTGCGAAGCTGGTTTGTTACGCTGAAAGGCGGTTATACCGGCTATACAGATACAGTAAGTAGTTTGAACCATACAACATAGTTATAGTCCTATGTGTTGGGATCCATGGGGAATCCCCTGCCCTGTACCCTCATGATGTGGCCCGAACAACCGGACCTGCGGGTCTGCGCAAAGATCAGACGTGTGGAGAATCCTGTGGTAACCAGACCTGCGTCAAAGTTCCGCGGGGCTATCCACAGACTTCCCTCACTCTACAGTCTTCTTTAGTGGGTAAAGCGTTCATTTTACGTTGAAAATGAGCACGGAGAAGCTCACTATGGATAGCGATGGTTATTTCAGCCATCGTCGCGGCCCCGGCCCCGGTCCCATCGCCTTCACCTCGCTGGTGCAACTCTTGACCGCGAGTATGTCCGTGATCATCATCGTCCTCGCTATCCAACAGGGGACACACTTGATCATAGAGGAAGTCTCAATTCGGAAGAGCACAATTTCTGACTACCAGAAGATAGTCGCTGACCTCGAGAAGGAAGTGGCAGTCATTAAGGCACGACGAGAGGTCGACTTGACGCTGCTCAGCGCTCGGCTAGACGCCCTGGAGGCAAAAACCAACAATGCGCAAGTAACTGGTGACATCAATTCTCGTCCTCAGGTAATGACAACTTACAGCTAATTACAGCATAAGTTATTCAAATCAGAACCCCAATTGCATAATTAATGAGAAATATTGGAAAAGCATTCTTTGTTAAGATAAGACTGTTATTGGGTGAAGAATATGATCAACTTATTTCCAGAAATGAGGCTTATTAAAAAATCAATGGGAAAACTGTATAAGTCGTCAGTCGAGAGGGTTAACATCATTCGACGAAGGTATGAGATCGTGGAACTCTTGTATGTCGATTGTTTTAAACATTTTGGGTACTCAGTAAATTACTTTTTGACATAAGAAGGCTATTTTTTTACCAAGTTTTGTCAGTAGGGAAGTTTTAAGTTGATCCCTATAAGGAAGTATGAGTTGATCAAACCTTTTAGTAACGTTAACATCGCTCTTGCATGCCAGTCATCAGAACCTGGGAAAACCAGTGCTGCCTCTAAATCTGTTGCCGAGTCGTACGCCAGTAATGGAAGTGCGGACGTCACTTGGCCAGCACATCATCAAAGACAAAAGAGGGCGGCGAACTCTGTGACATGGCCGGCTGGGGCGGGCGGTAAGTCCAACTTCTTCATGAGTTGAAGCCAATTTGGCATCGAGTATTGTTTTCAGAACCTATCTATTCCTGGATTTCTTCTCTAAATCGCCAGGCGTTTCAGATAACATCCACTATCTTCGATTAATGACTGACACTTCCTCAGAATTATCCAGTTACATGACTCATTGTGAATCATGTTTTGGCTGAGGGTTCAATGCTATAGTCGTCGAATTGAGGCTAACTAACTACTGTGGTGGCTGATAGCTGTTTTAGACTCCCTACAGGTCGCATAGTACTATCGTTAGTAGACATTACACACAATACGTTTAAAGGAGTACTAACCTCCAGATCTGGAAGTGCTATTTTCCGATACATAATGCTGCAATGAATACATAACTAGCCGACTTTTTACATAATTTCGCTTGTACGACTTGCACGGCGCATGTTTGTAAAGCGATATCAATATCAAATTTCCCCATGCTGAACCACAATCGATACATCCGGGAACTCTGGCTTACGCAATACTCATACACTTCAAGTCAACATTAACATTTTTCGCCGAAAATGGTAGGAGACAAGCACATTAACAAGCTGATTATTGAGAAATTACTTGCTTTGCTTTGCTTGACCTGTGGTTTGAATACTATATTATATGAGGATGTCTAATGCAGTGAGCGCCAGTTTCATCCTGCGTGTTTTGATTTTCTCAACTTATTTGCATGTGAGTGTTAATTGAACAAATAATTAGATTACGCCACTTATGGAAAATATAATTAGATTACGCCGTTTTTTTCATCGTCTATATTTCGGCATAAATAAGGGGCGATAAGGACATCAAGAAAGGCAATGGTTGGTAAGATAGCAAAGAACACAAAACGGTAGGAATTTTTCTTATCGCCCCTGAAATAAAGTCTGTAACGTAACTTTTTGTTTAAAACATAGACACCAATGGGGTAGCGTGGTGTATTCTGGGATCGTTTTGAGGGTATTTGGAGAGTTTGTCCTGGATTCGATGCGTTTTAAGACTTGAGTGCAAAATGGGCATTTAATTGTATACTGTAAAGTAATATGCATTTTCACTTCCTAAAATTAATGCCTGTCGGAATATAG